TAATCCCACAAACGAACATTACATTTTTATTTATATTGATTTTAGAATATTGTCGGTTGTTGTCAATTCATGGTTCTATTGTTGTTTCTGTTCCGCAGAGCCTTATGAGAAAGACGAAGAGCCAAGAAAAGGTGAGAAAGGAAACGAAAGAGAGAGAGAATCATTTAGATTAGATTGTGGTAGTATCAATCTGCAATGTTTGGAGCCGGCAGGGTTTTGCTTGTCACCCAGTCCATATGTAATTATTATCTTCTCTCTGGGCAATTCTTCAGAGGAGAACTTTGCTTAGAAGGACTGCTGGGATGAGGAAAAAAATGAGACCTTGCAATTGCACATGTGTTGGGGTGGATGGAGAACAGGCTTCTCTAAGACCTACTGGATTTCTTGCATCAGTGCAAGGACCCAGTTGGATCCTACCTATAAGAATGAAATGCAGCCCTTGACTGAAATCTAAGGTTCATTTCCTTTAGGAGTGCCCTGATAAATTCCAGTGATTGCTTCAACATGTCCAAAGCCAATTTGCATTTTATTATCTTACTTTTTAGACATTGAGCAGCTGGTACCTCCACGATTCCTTGAGAGATTTACCAACAAAAAGGTGAACAAAGGGGTCAGCATTACCCTTTCTGTGAAAGTTGAAGGTAAATGATCTTAACGGTGATTTCCCCCCCTCTTCCTAGTTATTTATTTATTTAAAGCATTGCATAAATAAAACAAGTATAAAACCGATTCCCCTTGCATGAAAAGAGCCACGTTGAACTGACAATTTCTCTTTGTCAGTCAGAGACCTAAATACCTTTAGCAACCATGAAGGCATTGCACTGACCTTTGACAGACTTGGCTTCTTTCTTACTAGCTAAGCGATAACTCTTCCTGATCCTCCAATCTAAGCATTCCTGCCTGCTCATTAATTCGCTATCTTCAGTGCTCTCCTTATCAGTTTGGTCCAGCTGGACCAAATCACTGTGGGAAGGCTGAGCAGGCGAAGACAACTCCACCTGGCCGTTATCTAGCTTACTGGCATTCTTTTCCCTTGAGAACTGATTTGTTGTCTCTCCTGCTGCATTGTCTGACACAGGCTCAGACACGGGCCCAGGAATCAGAATCCCATCATCTTCTTTGAACTGCCTGCTCACAAGACCCACAGGGTTCAAGTTCAGACTCAGAATCAGACTGAGCCACAACAATACGCCAGAAATGGAAGGGGACAGCCTTTACCTCTGTTTATGCTTTGTATGTTGTGTAAAAAGGCCTTGAATGTTTGACTTATATATGTAAAAGTAATCTGCTGTGAGTCCCTCTGGGGCAGTGGTTCTCAACCTGTGGGTCACCAGATGTTTTGGCCTTCAACTCCCAGAAATCCTAACAGCTGGTAAACTGGCTGGGATTTCTGGGAGTAGTAAGCCAAAACACCTGAAGACCCACAGGTTGAGAGCCACTGCTCTGGGGAGGATAAAGCGGAATATATATATATATATATATATATATATATATATATATAATATTCCTCTTTATATGCATATATATACACACACTACTAACCCAACTACTTCCTCTAGGAAGCCCACCGCCCTCCGTGACTTGGTTGAAGGAAGAGTCCGATGGAGAAGAGATCCTCTGGATCAAGGCGGACACTCCAGGCTACAAACTGGCCAGTTCCAACATGCACCACAGCCTTATCTTGCTGGATGTGAAAAAGGGGTACAGCGGGAACTACACCTGCATTGCCTCCAATCAGGCCGGCCAGTCGATCTGCAGTGCAACACTAGAAGTCATAGATAGTAAGTTCTTCTCTGTTGTGTTTTGCTAATAGAGATCGAGTATTCCCTTATCCGAAACACTTGGGACTAGAAGTGTTTATACACAATATTTTGGGCATTTTGGATTGCAGATATGGGATGCTCAATCTGTGCTTCCTGTACCTGCATGCTTTGGCTGGTTTGCAAAAAATTAGCTAAGAAAAAACATAATTTCTGTCGCACCTCAGAGTAGAATCACCTTGCTTAAGACACCAAACAGCACACAGCCTGTAGTCTTTATGGTTTATTAAAAGTAAAAGATAAAAAGTTCATAAAAGCAAAAGTAATGTTCCAAAGATCAAAATAAGGTAACACTTGAAAGCAAGATCCACGAAGGCACCAGCAAAGAAAAGTCCCATGAGAACATGACAAAGTCTTGAACCCATGAACATGAAAACTGCAAGATAAATCCAGGCAGACAAATGTAAGCCTCTTGACTGAAATGAGAAGTTGCTCTGACACTGGGATATTTTCAAACAGCTTGTTTAATACCCTTTGCAAAACATGAAGGCGTTTCTCTGGCTCTTGGCTTCCTGCTTGTTAGCAATTCTCACACTCCTTCGGACCTTGAATTCCAAGCAGCCAGCTCGATCTAAAGTTTCTTCTTCATCAAGGTCAGTCTGTTCGTTAGTGCTTTCTTGCTCATTATCTGGCTGAGAACAACTGTCCTCCCTTCCTGAATCAGCACGCACCTGCGTCTGGCTAATTTCACTATCAACAGCGTCATCCTTTGCTGTGGGAAACTGAACTTCTGTTCTTCATCGTCGATCACTGGAACATTACTTTGCACCTGATTGTGAAACTGAATCCCATCATCCTTGTCAGAATCATTGACACTATCACTCTGTGATTCCAACTGAGTCACAACAATTTCTGGATTTTGGTGTGGACACCATTGTAAGACAATTAACCAATTCTATTGCAAAATGACTTAGGTCAGGCATGGGCGGGCTTCAGCCGCCCCAGGTGTTTTGGACTTCAACTCTCACAATTCCTAACAGCTGGTATGTAGGAATTGTGGGAATTGAAGTCCAAAACACCTGGAGGGCTGAAGTTTGCCTATGCCTGACAGGTATTATATGGACAGATCCTATACATTTGCTTGCAAAGAACTACTACAGTCAGTTTTCCACATTTCCATACATAAAAGAATTATGACATTCACGAGTTTGCCATAAGTTGACTGGTGACTAGAAGGCACGTGTTCAATAAAAAGCTAATTTATGATGGGAAAGAAATAATTTATAATCAAATGCTGAAAATGAAGGGAGATGTGGAAAGAGAAATTATAACTCATAAATGTAAATTGTAGCTTGTAAATATGACAACAGATCTTTCCCCATAGCTCCACCTTAAGCCAAAATAGGGTATTTGATACCTGAAAAATCTAAGGTCCACATCCTCCCCTATCCCAGTCTTATCCAATCATCTCACTGTTAAGTGAATTATAATTTTTAGATGCATGGTTTTGTTCATTCTCCTGCAGTGAAGGAGGCGGAATCCCTGACCCAGGAGCGTGTGATGGTGACCGAAGCTATAATGACGTCACTTGGGTAAGTTGACGGCACAAGAAGAACTCACAATCTGAATACACTGTGTAATTATGCCCTAAATATGCCCCTTGCACTACCTTTTGGATGACATTTTGTTAAAATTCAGTACCTGATAGCAGCCACGGAAAAGATAAGATAAGAATGTATGTTCTCAAAAATTATACGAACGCACTAGTCACAGAAATAGGGATTGTCCAAACAGTAACAGTATGGGGAGCTTGTCTGTTTTTATCCAAATCTGGGTGACTTTACAATATGGCTAAGTATTGCAATGAATGTCATGGTTTCAATCAGAAAGGAAAACTAATTTATCTAGTTTTGAAAATCAGTGTAGATATATATATAATTTGCCATAATTTTAAGGCATCTTTTCAGTTTCTTTCCCACGAAATCCATGCAGCCCATTACTCATTTTGATACTTTGGTATTTAGACTAGCAGAGTGCAATGGGCTGAGCTGATTCAATTTTCCCAAAAGCTTTTGCACAATTAAAACTTGTGCGCCAGCTGCGCCCGTACCTTGGGAGGTCTGACTTGGCCACGGTGGTACACGCTCTGGTTACATCCCGTATAGACTACTGCAACGCTCTCTACATGGGGTTGCCTCTGAAGACTGCCCGGAAGGTAGAACTAGTCCAACAAGCGGCGGCCAGACTACTAACAGGAGTGGAGTACAGGGAGCATACTAGTCCTCTGCTGCGTCAGCTCCACGGGCTGCTAATCAGCTTCCAAGCACAATTCAAAGTGCTGGTGTTGACCTATAAATCCCTAAATGGTTCCGGCCCCATTTACCTGTCCGAACGGATTCTCCCCTATGAACCATCAAGGTTGTTAAGATCTTCTGGAGGGGCCCTGCTCTTGGTCCCACCTCTTTCGCAATCACGCTTGGTGGGAACGAGGGACAGGGCCTTCTTGGTGGTGGCCCCTCGGCTCTGGAACTCCCTCCCAATAGAGATTAGATCTGCCTCTTCCCTCCTAACATTTAGAAAGCTGGTAAAATCATGGCTTTGGGACACTGCGTTTGCAGATTGATGACTGAGTCAATAACTGTTGACCTATTGGCAAATGGTGATGAATTTGTAATTTGTGATTTCAGTCTGACAAACTGACTTTTTTGTAAATGGTATGAATTGTATTTTAATGTATTTTATATTGATGGTGTATATTTGCTTTATCTTATTGTATTGAATCCTCTGTTGTTAGCCGGCCTGAGTCCCTCTCTGGAGATTGAGAAGACCGGGTTATAAAAAACTCTAAATAAATAAATAAATAAAGCAATTGTTCTGGATGCTCGTAATAAAACTTAAATGTGTGTGTGTATGGGTGTGTGTGTTCATTCAAGGATAGGAAGGCAGAGAAACAAAAATAATGCAATGAGGTTTGGTTGGCTTCTAAGCATAGGAGTAGCTTGGCTAATGGCTACCGTAACTGAGGTTGGGACCCTCTCAAATTCACTTTCTTCTCAGGATGTATCCTTTTGAATACTTGATTAATGCATGGATGTTATGCACCCCATAGGTGTCCTGCGATAAATCATTAATCTGTAATAAAAAGTTTAAGTTTTTCAGTTTTACAAATCCATAGTGTTCTAAGGTCTCCCAGAACATCTCCTGAGGAAATACATTGTTTTCTCCTCCTTTTTTGTTACAGGTATGAAGACAAGGAAAGAAAGGAACGCGGGTAATGTTTGAGTCTTTCTAATATGTAGTTTTAATCTATATATATAAAAATGTTCTGTGCATAATGAGTACCTTAAAAACAAAAGAACCAATGAACGAAATCACACCAAATTTGGCAACAAAACATCTCACAACACAAGGAGTGACCATCACTCAAAAAATTATGATTTTGTCATTTGGGAGTTGTAGTTGCTGGGATTTATAGTTCACCTACAATCAAAGAGCATTCTGAACTCCACCAATGATGGAATTGAACCAAACGTGGCACACAGGACTCCCATGACCAACAGAAAACACTAGAAGGGTTTGGTGGGCATTGACCTTGAGTTTGGGAGTTGTAGTTCACCTACATCCAGAGAGCACTGTGGACTCAAACAATGATGGATCTGGACCAAACTTGGCACAAGCACTCAATAAACCCAAATATGAACACAGATGGAATTTGGGGAAACATGTTCCAGGGTGGGCAAACCAGACACTCTCCACATCAACACTGACAAAGAAACAGCAAGAAATACTGTTTACCCACAAGCATAAAGAAATTACATATATTAGAAAGCAACACTTCCTCATTACTTTAGTTTCAAGATCAACAGACTGGGCCACAGCAACGCATGGCAGGGGACAGCTAGTGATATTCTAAATGTTTAGATACTCGGAGGATGAATCTTGGTGAGGCACCAACACTGTTTGGCAGAGAAGGCTAAAGAACCCGTGAAACTATGACTCCTAGGACTCCATAGTATTGAAACATGTTGTTTCAAGTAATGGCAAATTGCATTAACTCTGCAGTGTGCTGTGGTTCAGACAGATGACGATGAGGGGATTGGGATTCCAGAGCCAGGAGGACTTGGGAGAGTGGTGGATGGTTCCTTCAATGAGAATCATAGAATCATAGAGTTGGAAGAGACCTCATGGGCCATCCTGTCCAACCCCCTGCCAAGAAGCAGGAATATTGCATTCAAAGCACCCCTGACAGATGGCCATCCAGCCTCTGTTTAAAAGCCTCCAAAGAAGGATCCTCCACCACACTCCGGGGCAGAGAGTTCCACTGCTGAACAGCTCTCACAGTCAGAAAGTTCTTCCTCATGTTCAGATGGAATCTCCTCTCTTGTAGTTTGACGCCATTGTTCCACGTCCTAGTCTCCAAGGAAGCAGAAAACAAGCTTGCTCCCTCCTCCGTGACTCCCTCTCACATATTTATACAGAGAAATGAGGGGATTTCAGAGCAAGATTCTGTCTGTGAGTTGGGGCTGAAAGTGAAACTGTTTTGGAGTCCAGCAGACAGGGAGGTGACCTTTCACCCACTAGAAGCTTAGCAACCTCTGATAAAGACCTGACAGACCAAGATAGCTCATCTGAGGGAACAACTGGGCTAGACAGGGATATCAGGCTCGATGTTAGGGAGAAAAACACCAAGCTCAGGAAATCAAGGAGGATTTGTGAGAAGGAAGCAGAGAGAAAATTTCAGAAGCTGGAAAGCCAAGATCAAAGAAATGACTTCATGTTTTGTGGCCGTTAAAGTAGAGAGTGCCTCTTTGGGAATTCAGATCAGGCAACGCTGCAAAGCTGTGAAGATATCTAGTCCTGCTCCAGTTCATGGCTCTAGTCTAAGATCTTGGGAGTTTTGGTTATGGATGTTTCTGGATTCATGTTCATGTTTTGATTCTTGTTTTCTGATCTATTCTCATGTTATGACTCTTGTTGTCATATACATTATGGATTATATGCATTATTGCCTTTGAAGTGTTTTACTCTTTATCAGTTGAGTTGGGCTTTTTACTTATTGACTACTTTTTATTATTACCTGTTGGATTCTACTTTTCTTACTCTTTTGGTGATTTTCCCCTTTTTATATGTACTTCTATCAATATTTATTTATCGTGTCAGGGGCAACCAGACAATTGTATTACATTTCTAACAGAACAAAACAAACAAACATACTAAACACAAAATTTGTAAGCTTGGTAGTTGACTAAATGTCCTTTGACCAGTATCTGGCCACTTGGAGTGCCTCTGGTGTTGCCGCAAGAAGGTCCTCCATTGTGCATGTGGCAGGGCTCAGGTTGCATTGCAGCAGGTGGTCAGTGGTTTGCTCTTCTCCACACTCGCATGTCGTGGACTCGACTGTGTGGCCCCATTTCTTAAGGTTGGCTTTGCATCTCGTGGTGCCAGAGCGCAGTCTGTTCAGCACCTTCCAAGTCGCCCCGTCTTCTGTGTGCCCAGGGGGGAGTTTCTCATTTGGTATCAGCCATTGGTTGAGGTTCTGAGTTTGAGCCTGCCACTTTTAGACTCTCGCTTGCTGAGGTGTTCCAGCGAGTGTCTCTGTAGATCTTAGAAAACTATTTCTTGATTTAAGTCATTGACGTGCTGGCTGATACCCAAACAGGGGGTGGGCTGGAGATGTCACTACCTTGGTCATTTCACTATTGGCTGCTACTTTCCGGCGGATGTCAGGTGGTGCGATACCGGCTAAACTGTAATTTATCCAGTGGTGTAGGGCACAGGCACCCCGTGATAATGCAGCATGTCTCATTAAGAGCCACTTCTACCAATAAACTATTTTACTATTGCTTTTGGATTCCTGGTTGGTGCAAAGAGCAAGGTGAACTGTGATTGAAGCGAAACACAGTGTAGGTGTGCCCTTTGTCTGGATTTCCATTTTGTCCATTTATTCGACAAAAAATAGAGAAAGAGAGTAAATTACCATGGACCATGGAAGACCACCAAGACTTCCATGTCTGTCAGTCCTTGCCATGGTTATGTGCAGGAAAACTTCCCATTATCTTGCTTCTAACCCAATATCATAAGACCACATGTGTAACCAGAAAAGTGGCACGCTATTGTTACTTTCAGTATCTCAAGATAAGAATGAGATGTCTGCTTACTTGTTCACTCTCTCTTCTATTTTTCCTTTCTTGTTTGTCAGGGTTGGGGTTTCAGTTCAAACACCCGAAGCCCAAAAAGGTAGGAAAAGCTGTTACAATTTCATTCATACTAACTGTTTGCATAATGACTGCTTTGTGTTTCATACTACATTCACTAATGTTCATTTGTTTCCAAGAATACTTGTGGAAAAATAAATAATTTTTAATTGGAGAATGGGGGCAGGGGGAACCCAACTGTAAATAGTAAAATAAGTCGGCCATACCATCAGAATTTCCCTCCCTATAGTACAAAAATGGTTTGCAATGTAACATACATAATGCATCTTTATGATCAATGGCACTCTAGGAAATTGCATTCCTCAGTGCAACTGTCTCTTTCGGCAGGAGATGGAGAAGCCGCTCGGAGCCATATTTCACTTACGGAAGTTGGCACGGAGGAATTTCTCCAGAAGCTGACCTCACAGATCACAGAAATGGTCTCTGCAAAGATAAGTCAAGGTGAGCTTCACAACTTCACATTTATAGGAGGCAACCGATATTGGACTTACTGAAGACCAGTTATCAATTTAAGATACCTGTACATTCTAGGTGAGCTTCAGGTTTCCTGACCATTTCTGGCAATTTCCAATGGTCAATTTGAAAGTAGAAAGTGAAACCCAATTAAGTCACCTTGAGCAAGTCACACTCTCTCAGACCCCATATACATTATATTATATGAGTCTACACTGATCTGATATTACTTACTTACTTAGGCGATCCGAGTAGGATAGTCTTCCAAGACCGATGTACTGGCGGTGGTTCCGTAGGTGACTGTGGACCGCTATTCTTGATCTGCATCTTCTCCCACAGTGAGGGCATTGGTTTCCAGCTGGAAGGCGGTCCCGGTTGGGGTTGGGTTGACACACCTTCCTCTTGGCACGTTTCTCTCTTTCACCCTCCACCCATGCCTCCTCGAATTCTGTAGCACTGCTGGTCACAGCTGACCTCCAGCTGGAGAGCTCAAGGGCCAGGGCTTCCCAGTTCTCAGTGTCTATGCCAGAGATTTTAAGGTTGACTTTGAGCCCATCTTTCAATCTCTTTTCCTGCCCACCATCATTCCATTTTCCGTTCTTGAGTTCGGAGTAGAGCAACTGCTTTGGAAGGCGGTGGTCGGGCATCTGGACAACATGGCTGGTCCAGCAGAGTTGATGCCGGAGGACCATAGCTTCAATGCTGATGGTCTTTGCTTCTTCCAGCATGCTGACATTTGTCAGCTTGTCTTCCCAAGAGATCTGCAGGATTTTCCGGAGGCAGGGCTGATGGAATCGTTCCAGGAGTTGCATGTGACATCTGTAGACAGTCCACATTTCGCAGGCATAGAGCAGGGTTGGGAGGACAATAGCTTTATAAACAAGCACTTGGTATCCCTACGGATGTCCCGGTCCTCAAACACTCTCTGCTTCATTCAGAAAAAAGCTGCACTCGTAGAGGTCAGGCGGTGTTGTATTTCGGTGTCGATGTTGACTTTGGTGGAGAGGTGGCTGCCAAGATAACAGAAATGATCAACATTTTCTAATGTTACACCGTTAAGCTGTATTTATGGCATTGGAGAGGGATTGGCTGGTGACTGCTGGAAGATCACTTTGGTTTTCTCAATGTTCAATGACAGGCCGAGCTTCTCGTATGCTTCTGCAAAGGTGTTTAGAGTGGCTTGTAGGGCTTCTTCTGAATGCGCACCGATGACGTTGTCATCAGCATACTGGAGTTCTATAACTCCAGTAGGCTGTTAGGAATTGTGGGAGTTGAAGTCCAAAACACCTGGAGGGCCTGTTTGCCCATGCCTGGTCTAATACCTCCTATAAAATGAGATATGTGCAATAAAAAGCACAATTCACCACACATTGTGACTATGTGGCTTGTAGGTCTTCTTCTGAATGTGCAGAGATGACGTTGATATAATGCCGTTCCAAACTGCATTACATGGCAGTGTATATGGGCCCTCAAATTAAGAGCTAGGCAATGCTAGGCTTGAAAAATCATGTCAAGAAAACCCTAGGATAGGACTTCTACAAGTTGGAGTTTCAATACAAAGACATATAACAAAGGTACAATTTTTATAATGGAGACATTATCTCAGAAATAGTGTTTGTGATAGAACGTCATGACATGTGTTATGATTAACATCATTCAAGCATTTTGACGAAATGCATTGATTAATTTAATTTTTGGTATTGCTGTGATAAGATGTGACTTTATTTTGTTTCTGGCTTGTATAATAAATGGCTTGGAACGAGTGCTGCAAGATGCCAAGGAGGAAAGTGCAAAGGTGGGTTTATAGCTGAACATAATGAAAGCAAAAATGATGATCACACATAATTTACATGACTCTAAACAGTGGAATCTTTTGAATAATTCAATATTTTCCTTGCTTTTACTCAATCATTGTTCAGACTGGAAGTTGCAGTAAAGAGAACTGAAGGAAACAAGGACTTGGAAGGGCGACTGGAGGGAACAAGACAAAATTCTAGAGTATAAAAATATATCACTGAATACTAGGATTGTCTATGCCATCCTATTTCCCCATATATGATGATCATGATAATTAGGTAGGAAAAAGAGCTTATTGAAAGAAATTGAACCCCTGCAAGATGTGCAAAGACAAATAAATGGATCCTGGAGCAAATTGAGTCCTAACTCTCCTTGGAAGCCAAGATGACTAATCAAGGCTGTCATACTCATATGAGAACATATGAGTCACTAGAAAATACAGGCGAAACGTCAGGAGAAATGCCTCTAGAACATGGCTCTATAGCCCGAAAAAACCCACAAGAACCTAGTAAATACAATAATGTTTGGAAGGATAGAAGGTAGGAGGAAACAAGGGAGACCACATTCCAGGTACATTGTCTCAATTGGGAAAGATTGCTTTCAAACATTTGCTTCCTGCAAAATAAAGTAGTAATCTGTAGAGCATCTATTGGTTCTTTGTGCCTCTTAATAGTTTATCTCTCCTTTTCAGCCACACTTCGAGTCCCTGGAGCTGATAGTGATGATGAATCCAAAACACCATCTCCATCCCCAAGACATGGCAGGTCCAGGCCTTCATCCACTGCTCAGGAGTCTTCCTCTGAATCAGATGAAGGGGATGCCAGGGGAGAGGTATCATACCTACTTAAGTCAACTTGTTGCAAGCATTTCTAAGGAGAAGACTGCCATGACATTCTTTTCAAGAAAAAGCAAGCACAATACAATGGCCCTTTGGCATCTGCTTGGCTTTGGTTCCAGGGCCATCTGGTAGATACCAAATGCTTGTATCCCCATCCTATTATATACAGTAGCAGAGGAAAATAGGTTCCTTTGTATAAAATGGTGATTATCTCAAACAAATACTGGAGAAAGTCATAGGCCCCTTCTACACTGTCCTTATAACAAAGGATCTGACCCCAGGTTGTCTGCTTTGAACTGGATTATATGTGCTGCACACCAAGTCTGTGATGAGCACCTTTGAACCCATAAACACACCAATGTTCTTTAATAAGCAAGCAGTTCATTGAAAATTAATATAGCAAGTGTCAAAAAGGTAAAAGGCAATCAAAAAGGAAATAAGAGAATGTCCAAAAAGCGATCCATAAGCAATGTAAGATTATCCAGCAAAGTCCACATCAGGAGAACAAGGTAGTTCCAAAGTCCAATTAATCAAGTCCACAGGACATAGCCCTTTAGTTCAAAAGGTTGTAAAACAAAGTCCCTTGAAAATTCAGGAGAAAAACTTGGACAAAACCAGATGCAGAAACTTGAAATCTGGATACAACACTTACAAGAATCTCAGCATGAACATGAATCTGGAGCAAAATATTACATGAGTCTCAGCATGAAACAAAAGGCATGAAGCAGGCATGAAAGCTACATGTTGGACTCACTGACGAGCATGGATTCAAAGGCCCTATATTTATTCAGAAAGCCATGGCAAAGGCATTCCGTTTCCTTTGAGAAACCTCTCCCAAATCCCTTCTTTCTCTTAATCTTGCTGAACGCCTCGTCCCTAAGTCCAGGTGGTGCTCACGATAGATTTGCCCTTTGCGATCAAAGATTGCCTCCTCTGGTTTGCTCATTAGTACATTCCTTTCGCTATCACTATCTAACTGTGACTGTTCATCCTCAGCCTGTTTCACATCAGGCTGTCTCAAGACATCTTTGCCTTGGGAACCAACGATCCCAGAATCCTCAGTTTCACTCTGGCTAACTGCATTTTCTAGGCTATCACCTGCATTCACAAACCTCTGAGAATCAACAGAAACCTGATCATTAAAGTCAGACATGGGAACCTCTGAAGGGTCCTGATCATGATCATTCTCTTTTGAAACCTGTGGCAAAGAGACAATCACAGGCTGAACCCCTACAATATGAGTCTCCAGTAGCATATCATTTGGGATAAACAGATAATCTGGGATCTGATCCTGGGATATAAGGACAGTGCAGATGGTGCCTGAGTATCTGAAATGATATAGGGTTACAACAGGGCATTACTGGACATCAATGTGGTGTTCAAGAAGTAGTCAAATCAAGGTTGTCTTTTGGGATGATTTTTGTGCCATGGTTGGCTGAATCCATGGATGCAGAACCCATGGATATGGAGGGTCAACAGTACTGTGTTGCAGAATGACATTGCAGTTGGAATGGGAAGTTGATATGTATAGATTACTTTAAATAAAGCTTAGGCACCCCTTTGAATGGAAAAGAATGGGGAAAACACAATGTTCACATACAACAAACCAAATAAGCTTCTTTTGCCCATTTGTAGGCTGAACCTTCAGCTTCTCAGAGAGTCAACTTTATGCTTTCCCTCCAAGGGAAACAATGTTCCGTTATTCATTGCACAAAATTTATTTATTTATTTATTTCGCGCATTTCTACCCTGCCCTTCTCAACCCCCGAGGGGGGACTCAGGGCAGCTTACAAAAGGCACAATTCGATGCCAACACAACAATAAGATAAAAACATATATCAACAGCAGTTATAGAACAATTAAAACAGTCAATTATACATCACAATCAATAAAACCAATCTAATGCTCAACGTTCGCCAGCTCAGACTCCATAAATTCATTCCACATTGTCAAATCCTATCAATTCTAGTTGTCATTGTCCTTTGTCTGTCTGCCAGGTTACCCAAAGGCCTGGTCCTATATCCATGTTTTTAGTTTCCTTCTAAAAGAGAGGAGGGATGTCGATGACCTAATTTCCCCGGGAAGTGAATTCCACAGGCGAGGGGCCACCACCGAGAACGCCCTGCTCATCCCCAACAATCTCACTTGTGATAGAGGTGGGGCCGAGAGCAGGGCCTCCCCAGAAGATCTTAAACTCCGAGGCGGGATGTAGAAGGAGATGCGTTCGGACAGATACGCTGGGCTGGAACCGTATAGGGTTTTGTAGGTCAAAAGCAGTACTTTGAATTGTGCTCGGAACTGCATCGGCAGCCAGTGGAGCTGACATAACAGAGGTGTGGTATGTTCCCTGTATGACACTCCGGTGAGTAATCTGGCTGCCGCCCGCTGAACTAATTGAAGTTTCTGAACAGTCTTCAAGGGCAACCCCACGTACAGTGCGTTGCAGTAATCTATTCGGGATGTAACAAGAGCGTGGACCACTGTGGCCAGATCTGACTTCCCAAGGTACGGGTGCAGCTGGCGCACAAGTTTTAATTGTGCAAAAACTCTCCCGGCCACCGCTGAGACCTGGGGTTCCAGGCTCAGCGATGAGTCCAGGATCACTCCCAAGCTGCGAACCTGCGTCTTCAGGGGGAGTGTAACCCCATCTAACACAGGCTGTGGTGCTCTTTGAGGGCTTGAGCATAGTTTCTTCTTGGCTTGCTTGGAATCTTTTATTACAGACTTACATAGTGGATGCTATTGATGTCAGTGTGACTGATTTCTGAGTAACAAAAGTTAGGGAAGGGTTACAAGAGGAAAAAAGGTAATATAGTACAATGCTTAAAACATTTTGTTCTGTGTACTTTCCAATGCCCCTTATTTCTACTGAGTAATGTAGTACCACCCACTTATCTTTGGAGGATAAGTTCCAGAGGGTCATGTGGATCTGAAAACCCCATTGAACAAATGAATGATCATAAGGAATTCTTAGAGAGGACAGTGCTCTAAGCATTGCTAGGTGCTCCAGAACAACTGTGTGTCAACCTTGGTTGGAACCATAGAAAATGTCTAGAGATGAGATATTGTAGCAGACCTGGGTAAATGAAACTGTAGGTACACATACCCTGAGAAAGCTTCCTTTCTACAGATCTTTGACATCTACATGGTCACGGCTGACTATCTGCCCATGGGAGCCGACCGTGAAACCATCACCCTGAAGGAAGGGCAATATGTGGAGGTCCTGGATTCTGCTCATCCTCTGAAATGGCTGGTGAGGACCAAACCCACCAAGTCCAGTCCATCAAGACAAGGCTGGGTTTCTCCGGCCTACCTGGATAAGAGGTTGAAGGTAAGGACCACCCAAGACTCCTTCCCATCTTGGAGACCATCAGCTTGTTTTGTTTTCTTCTAAGTTTCTATGTGCAAATACAAGCATATTAAGGTCATTTGTATATCCTACTCAGCCATAGTATCTATCCTTAAACCTGAGTGGGAATCAGTAGTGATGGAAGACAATTCAATGATGCCATATCCCTGTTGTTACTTTTACAAAGGAGGTATTCATTGGGTTGTTGTAGGTTTTTCCAGGTTATATGGCCATGTTCTAGCGGCATTTTCTCCTGACGTTTCGCCTGCATCTATGGCAAGCATCCTCAGAGGTAGTGAGGTATTCATTGTATTGTCAAAGGCTTTCATGGCCGGAATCACTGGGTTGTTGTAGGCTTTTTCGGGCTATATGGCCATGTTCTAGAGGCATTCTCTCCTGACGTTTCGCCATTGAAGCCATTGAAATCCACAAGCATGTGGACAATTTCAACAGAAAGGAGGAAACCATGAAAATCAACAAAATCTGGCTACCAGTATTAAAAAACTCTAAAATTACAACAGCACAACAACAGAGAGGAAACAAACAAGGACATCTAATCACCTCTCAACAAAAGATTGCTCCAGGCACTGCCAGGCCATCAAATGCTAATCAAGGTGGTCAGTTGAAACATTCCCACCTAGCTCCAACAGACAAGAGTCCTTTGTCCCACCCTGGTCATTCCACAGATATATAAACCCATTTTCCTAGTTCCAACAGACCTCACTACCTCTGAGGATGCTTGCCATAGATGCAGGCGAAACGTCAGGAGAGAATGCCTCTAGATCATGGCCATATAGCCCAAACTAACCTACAACAACCGGAGGTATTCATTTCTTGAATTATAATTTAGAATTTTTAGGGTTTTTTCTATTGCCTGAAATGATAAAGCCTGAAAATTTGTTATCATTTATCAGCTCTTGTTGTTGAGGAATCAGGGTGAACCGTACCTTGATGGACAATGATATCTCTCCACCAAGCTCTGTGACCAATGTTTCCAAAAGTCACAATGTGTTTGTGTTATAAGCCAAATGCTTTCTCTCTAATGTTTCTCTCTAACTGTTGTGTGGTCTGTGACATGGATGAATAGTTTAAGAACCAACGCAAGCTCTCTTGTGGACCTGCCTCTTAATAGCTCCTGATCTCCAGTGACTCGGGTTGTATTTTCTTTTTTTTAGCTATCTACAGAGTGGGGCGTTGCGGAAATCCCTGAGTTCCCTGGTGAATCTGTTTCTGAGGATGAATATAAAAAGAAGCTGAGGTGAGAAGCACTGTGTTGGAAGGTTCTTCCTTGGAAGAGCTTTCCATTCTCTGTTTACCCCTGAAGCTCCAACTACTCATGTTCTTAATACAGTTGGCCCTCCACATTTGCATGATCAACTCTTGCAGATTTGGTTATTCATGGTTTTGACTGAAGTGTTCTCTAAGAATCTCTAGGTCTTTTGGGGAGACTTTGCAGCCAGTCAGTGTCAACTGGAGGTTGTCCATAGAGCAGGCATGGACAGATTGGGCCCTCCAGGTATTTTGGACTTCAACTCCCACAATTCCTAGCATCCAGTAGGCTGTTAGGAATTGTGGAAGTTGAAGTCCAAAACACCTGGAGGGCCCAAGTTTGCCTACGCCTGTCATAGAGTCACCCTAAAGTACCTAATGTTTTCCTGAAGAGACTATCTTATGGCATACGTTGACAATAGATACATGCTGGAGAACCTAGATATTCCTAAAGGGGTGTTCTTTTCAAAGAGAATATTCAACGTTGTTTCCATTTGTCTGCAGTCTGGAGTGACATGCAATACTGTGTTTGTATCTATGGGAGAAATACATCCATTTCATTTATGCACTTCTGACAAAATGTGGCACTCTGGACATTTTCTAGGTCCTTCGGCATGACCCCATAGTAGTCCTAGCTTGAAAGTCCTTAACATTAATAGGAGTCTCTATTATCTGCATTTCTGCATATCCATGCAAAGTCTGGGAAGGTATTCACCATGAAGATGGGGGTTCTGCTGTAATCTAGTCTGTCTCAGCAAATTTCAAGTTTTATTGTTCTGTTTAAACTTGTTCCTTGGCTTGACTCACAAGGAGAGATAGGGAATAAAATTGTTGTTGTTGTTGTTGTTGTTGTTGTTGTTATTATTATTATTTGAAACACAACCAGATGAGTCCACAGCGAACAAAATCACTCTGCTGGCTGTTGTATTGGATCACACGTCGGACACTTCCCAAGTGTCTAGGACTGTGTGATGTATCGGCGAATAATGTGTGCCGATCCCAGTAAGGTGGCCTTTTGCAGCTGGCAGATGGTAATTTTGTCAGCGCGGATTGTGTTTAAATTCATGGCCAAGGTCTTTAGGCACTGCTTCTAAAGTGCCGATCACCACTGGGACCACCTTTACTGGCTTGTGCCAGAGTCTTTGCGGTTCGATCTTTAAATCCTCATATTATGTCAGATTTTCTAGTTGTTTCTCTTCAATCCTGCTGTTTGCTGGGATTGCAACATCCACGATCCATACTTTGTTTTTTAACACAACCATGAGGTCAGGAGTCTTGTGCTCCAAAACTCTGTCTGTGTGAATTTGGAAGTCCCAGAGTAGTTTGACATGTTCATTTTCTGCAACTTTTTCAGGCTTGTGATGATGATGATGATGATGATTATATCCTATTGTTGCAGTATTTTGATTCTGCAAGAGAAGTATCTCTTTGTTGAGATACTTATTTATTTACTATGTGATGAGCATTTAGTTGAATTGAAGTTGTTTTTCCAATGGATACAATCAAAGGGCAACATGCATTGTTGGATTAAAAAACTGTCCATATGTTCTCTTGTATTATGGAATGATATTCTCTCAATGAAAGCTTCTGGCATTTTTCACTTTTTATTTCCATGTTCCTCTTCAGCCCCATTATTCAGGATTTGCTGAACTCTGAGGAAGAGTTTGTCAAGGACCTGCAGTACCTTCAGACTCATCACATCCAATACACGGAGACCTGCGCCAATGTCCCTGCCGCTGTTTCCAGCCAGAAGCTCATTATCTTCAGAAATATCACTGACTTGACACACTTCCATTCCAGGTATGTGCATTAGAAGTGACTGCACAACAGTCTAGATCAGGTATGGGCAAACTTGGGCCCTCCAGGTGTTTTGGACTTCAACTCCCACAATTTCTAACAGCCAGTAGCCAGTAGTTGTTTAGTTGAAGTCCAAAACACCTGGAGGGCCCAAGTTTGCCCATGCCTGATCTAGATGTAAATGTGTAAAACACCCTTCCCTCTTCGGGTGGAGAAGCCACTTTGGGAGGGAAATTTTGGAAACAAGAAGGGAAAAATTGTGAAATAAATAAGCAAAAACGTTGGATAATTAGAAGGGATTAAGGAAAACCCTATTAAATGTCAAATTACATTATGATTTTGCAAATTAAGCACCAAAGCATCATGTTTTACAACAAATGGACAGAAAAAGCAGTTTAATACTCAGTAACATTACGTAGTAATTACTGTATTTACAAATTTAGCACCAAAACATTGCAATGTATTGAAACAGATGTGGATCTGGGCAGGAGGCAGACTACTTTGGATAAGCGAAGGTTGGATAAGCGAGACTCTACTGTACGTCAAGGCTTGAAGGAGCCAGCTATTCTGTGTTACCACATCTCTACTTTTTAGTTGCCCAGCATTGAACCATTCTATGAAAGGGAGGAAAACACCTCAAAGTAGGAATTTGTAAGGTGATGGGTATGTCTTCCAAGATGCAGGAAAGACATTGGAATCCTGTGCTGTAGGGGTTAAAAATCAGTATTAGCAATGGGAGGTCATGATTATATGGAAATCTATATGGATTTTCTGTTGGGCATGTTTGAATGGATGTCAAATGGAAGATGGAGCCAATAATTTTATTGAAGATAATAAAAAAAGCAGTAAAGTAAAAAAGCACTTTAAAGAAATAGGTAAATCCAATTAGGTAGGAAGATAAGAAGGAACAAAGTAGTCCAGGGTAATAGTCCAGCAAAGTACATGAAAACAAAGTCAAAACTTCCCAAATAAAATGCAAGAACTCAGGAATCATGAATCCAAGGCATGAATATAAAAGCATAGAATTCAAGAATCAAAACCATGAAACAAAGGCACTTAAAACATGAATTTTCCAAGCAAAGCTTCCATGAAACAAGGACAAGATCTTGACTTGATTCCAAATGATGCTTCATCTGATTACATATCCTGTACTTGGAACTTTTATCCCCTCGTTAGCTATGTCTCTAGCACTCCGAAACTGGTTTCGCTTTAGGTGATAATTTCTGATCTTTTTCTCTTGGAGCCTGGCAGGATGCCGAAACCACTGTTTGGCTGCTCTGTTTTGACTGATCTCCTCCCATCTATCTATTTGCTCATTAATTTCTGGAGCTGGGCCAGGTGCCGAGCTGTTTTCATGTTTCCCATCATGGGAACTCTCTGGTAACAATTCAGAGAGTACACCATCATCCTCACACCCCTCGGGGACATTCTCATGGGAAACTACACTTTGAACAGGGATCTCCTGGTCATTCTCTGCATCAATATCATTGACCAAACCATTGCCATCTTGAAACTCATTGACATCACTCTCCACATCCAAAGCACACTGATCCTGAAACACAGTCACAGGCTGAGCTCCAACACCATCTGTTCCTTCCAATGTACTTCGATTGCAACAATAGAGACTATATTCCAATTCCCCTCCTGAGATGAGGCTAAGAAAAGACAGGACTTTTTTCATTTATGGCCCCAAAAGAAGGGTGGAGAAGTGAGGTTGATCCCATTACTCTGCTGACTGCTTTAATGCTTTTTCCAACTGGATTTTTCATAATATGTATGCTTACTGTTTTCCAAATACTTTCAGCTGCTGTAACCATTTTAGAATAAATGAATGCTTATTCAGGGTTTATCTTCTGCTGATTTCATGACTGTTGTAAAAATGGAGAAATAGCCAAATTGAGAAAAGGGAATTTGATTGTCGAGGTCTCATCTTCCTTCCTTCCATTGCCCACAGCGCTTTCTTCCCAGAGCTCCAGAAATGTGACACGGATGATGACGTGGCAATGTGTTTCATTAAGAACGAAGGGGAATTTGACAAATACATACAGTATTTGGTGGGCCGCATACAGGCAGAGTCAATCGTGGTTAGTAAAGCAGTCCAGGACTTCTATAAGGTAAGATGTAGCTGGTTACAAATGGTGGATGATCACGAAGGGAAAAAAATGGTGATAAGGCTGCAATGTATGATAACCACAGCAAGAATTATCTATGCTCAGAGAAGGAAGGAACCATTTATCACAACACAAGAAGAATAGCTAAGGGAAATCTGTGAATTAGCCAAAATGGACAAATTGACCAGGAAGAAATTCTTGATTAACTTTAAGAAAGATTGGGACCCCTCCAGCACTTTTTCACAGTAGCGATGGGAGCATCTGTCAGTGTGATATTCACGAATCAGTAAGGTGTTGCCAAAAGTAGAGGTATTTATTTATTTATCGTGCCAGGGCAAACAGTCGAATATATTACATTTCTAACAGAACAAGTAAACAAACAGACAAAATACAAAACTTGTGAGTTTGGTAGTTGATTAAATGTCCTTTGACCAGTATCTGGCCACTTGGAGTGCTTTGGTGTTGCTGCAAGAAGGTCCTCCATTGTGCATGTGGCAGGGCTCAGGTTGCATTGCAGCAGGTGGTCAGTGGTTTGCTCTTCTCCACACTCGCATGTCGTGGATTCCACTTTGTAGCCCCATTTCTTAAGGTTGGCTCTGCATCTTGTGGTGCCAGAGCGCAGTCTGTTCAGTGCCTTCCAAGTCGCCCAGTCCTCTGTGTGCCCATTAGTATCAGCTATTGGTTGAGGTTCTGGGTTTGAGCCTGTCACTTTTGGACTCTCGCTTGCTGAGGTGTTCCAGCGAGTGTCTCTGTAGATCTTAGAAAACTATTTCTAGATTTAAGTCGTTGACGTGCTGGCTGATACCCAAACAGGGGATGAGCTGGAGATGTCTCTGCCTTGGTCCTTTCACTATTGGCTGCTACTTCCCGGCGGATGTCAGGTGGTGCAATACCAGCTAAGCAGTGTAATTTCTCCAGTGGTGTAGGGCGCAGACACCCCGTGATAATGCGGCATGTCTCATTAAGAGCCACATCACTGTTTTAGTGTGGTGAGATGTGTTCCACACTGCGCATGCATACTCAGCAGCAGAGTAGCACAGCGCAAGGGCAGATGTCTTCACTTGTATCTGGTTGTGATCCCCAGGTTGTGCCAGTCAGCTTTCGTATGATATTGTTTCTAGCACCCACTTTTTGCTTGATGTTCAGGCAGTGCTTCTTGTAGGTCAGAGCACAGTCCAGAGTGACTCCCAGGTATTTGGGTGTGCAGCAGTGCTCCTGCATAATAATATTTGGGTGCGCTGCAATGCTCCAGTGGGATTCCTTCCCAGGTGATTCTCAGAGCTCGGGATGCTTGTCTGTTCTTAAGATGAAAGGCACATGTCTGTGTTTTAGATGGGATTAGGGATCAGCTGGTTTTCCCTGTAATAGGCAGTAAGAGCACCTAGAGCTTCGGAGAGCTTCTGTTCTACCATCTCAAAGCTCCCTGCTTGAGCAGTAATGGCACGATCATCAGCATAGATGAAACTCTCTGTTAATACATTATCATTATTACATTGCCCCCGGTGGTGCAATGGGTTAAACGCTTGTGCTGGCAGGACTGAAGATCGACAGGTTGCAGGTTCAAATCTGGGGAAACTGTGGGTGAGCTCCCTCTGTCAACTCCAGCACCCCATGCTGGGACATAAGAGAAGCCTCCCATGAGGATGGTAAAACATCAAAACATCTGGGCATCCCCTGGGCAACGACCTTGCAGATGGACAATTCTCTCAAACCAGAAGCAGCTTGCCCAGCTCTTTAGGCCGCTCCTCATAGGGCTTGTTCTCCAGACCCTTGATCATTTTAGTTGCCCTCGTCTGGACACATCCTAGCTTAGAGTCAACATCTCCCTTGAATTGTGGTGGCCAGAATTGGACACAATATTCCAGGTGTGGTCTAACCAAGGCAGAATAGAGGGGTAGCATGACTTTCCTGGATCTAGACACTAGAATTTTATTGATCCAGGCCAAAATCCTTATTTTGTCTCTTACAAAACATATTGTAAAAAAAAAAGGAATCCGTCAACAAATCAGAAGAGGCTACATTAGCTCTGAGAATTAGATGTTGCATGAGTAGTTTTCAGGAGTGAGTGTAGTTGTTTATGAAGGAGCAAGACCTTTGGTGATTGACAATAGGAAAGTTGACACTTATGGAAGCCTTCTTGTTGTGTTCTTTTGTCCAGCGCTACACAGAGGGAACATTATCCAGTGAGGATCCTTCCCAGCCACCTATTTTTCCTCTGCAACACTATCTAGAGAGACCTATCAACAGGATCCAGAAGTATCAAACAGTTATCAAGGTCTGGTGTTTTCCTTTTACTATTAGATGTGACTATTTACGACGAAGATCTTTTAGTTGTGTTCTCATCCAACTCTACAATTCTAGTTGAGTACAAATGAAGCCAATGGTTTGACTTGATGTATTTGCAGGAGCTCATCCGAAACAAAGCAAGGAATAGCCAGAACTGTGCGCTGCTGGAGCAGGCGTATGCAATTGTGTCCGCACTTACGAGGCGAGCAGAAAACAACCTACATGTGTCTCTGATTGAGAACTATCCAGGAACCTTAGAAATCTTAGGGGAGCCCATCCGACAGGTAAGGGAAGCTGGCCATCCATGCCAATGGATATTAGGAGTTTGCATCATATTTCTTCATGCCGAGCCACAGAAATATTGAATTAAATATTTATTAAAAAGTGGAGGACCTACTAGAGATACTTACTTACTTACTTAGGCGATCCCTCGTTTTCCGAGGATGATTGTCTTCCAGTATTCTTGTGGGTCCGTATGTGGCTGTGGAGCCCTATTCTTGCTCTGCATTTTCTTCCGCAGTGAGGGCATTGGTTTCCAGGTGGAAGGCGGTCTCGGTCGGGGTTGGCTTGACGCGCCTTTCTCTTGGCATGCTTCTCCCTTTCACCCTCCATTCGTGCCTCTTCAAATTCTGCAGCACTGCTGGTCACAGCTGACCTCCAGCTGGAGCGGTCAAGGGCCAGGGCTTCCCAGTTCTCAGTGTCTATGCCAGAGTTTTTAAGGTTGGATTTGAGCCCATCTTTAAATCTCTTTTCCTGTCCCACCAACATTCCGTTTTCCATTCTTGAGTTCGGAGTAGAGCAACTGCTTTGGGAGACGGTGGTCAGGCATCCGGACAACGTGGCTGGTCCAGCGGAGTTGATGGCGAGGACCATCGCTTCAATGCTGGTGGTCTTTGCTTCTTCCAGCATGCTGACGTTTGTCCGCCTGTCTTCCCAAGAGATTTGCAGGATTTTCGGAGGCAGCGCTGATGGAATCGTTCCAGGAGTTGCATGTGACGTCTGTAGACAGTCCACGTTTTGCAGGCATATAGCAGGGTTGGGAGGACAATAGCTCTATAAACAAGCACCTTGGTATCCCTACGGATGTCCCGGTCCTCAAACACTCTCTGCTTCATTCGAAGATGAACCTACTAGAGATACAGAACTGGGTAAAACTGCTTAATAAAAAACCTCGGTGGAGAGAATTCTTTATGCTCTTCTATCTGATTAGAACAGCATTTCTCAACCTGGGGGTCGGGACCCTTGGGGGGGGATCATGAGGGGGTGTCAGAGGGGTCGCCAAAGACTATCAGAAAACACAGTATTTTCTGTTGCTCGGTGGGTTCTGTGAGGAAAGTTTGTCACAATTCTATTGTTGGTGGGGTTCAGAATGCTCTTTGATTGTAGGTGAACTRCAAATCCCAGTAACTAAAACTCCCAAATGTCCAGATCTATTTTGCCCAAACTCCACCAGTGTTCACATTTGGGCATATTGAGTATATGTGCCAAGTTTGGTCCAGATCCATCATTGTTTGAGTCCRCAGTGCTCTCTGGATGTATGTGAAYTACAACTCCAAAAATTTAAGATCAATGTCCACCAGATCCTCCCAGTATTTTCTCTTGGTCATGGGAGTTCTGTGTGCCAAATTTGGTTCAATTTCATCATTGGTGGTGTTCAGAATGCTCTTTGATTGTAGGTGAACTATAAATCACAGCCACTACAGCTCCCAAATGACAAAAACATTCTATTTTCCTCAAACTCCACCAGTGTTCACATTTGGGCATATTCATGTAGAGTTTTGTCCAGATCTATCATTGTTTGAGTCCACAGTGCTCTCTGGATGTAGGTGAACTACAACTCCAAAACTCAAGGTCAATGCCCACTAGACCCTTCCATTATTTTCTGTTGGTCATGGGAGTTCTGTGTGCCAAGTGTGGTTCAATTCCATCATGTGAATTTATGATTGATGAGGCGATAAAAACTTCTCCAGCACACAGCCATAAAACAATAAACCAATTAGCTTTATTTACAGCTTAGCAGAGCTGTGTGGTAGTGTCTGCTCGTGGCGAAAAACACTCAGTAATGGCTCCTCGGTTCCTTCTTCATGCTGAGTAGAAAACATTCCTACTCACATTCCATACAAGGCATTATACGTCACATACAGGAATTAGGAACTAACATACTTAACACTATGTTTGTTGTTATTGTTGTTCATTCGTTCAGTCGTCTCCGACTCTTCGTGACCTCATGGACCAGCCTACGGCAGAGCTCCCTGTCGGCCGTCACCACCCCCAGCTCCTTCAAGGTCATTCCAGTCACTTCAAGGATGCCATCCATCCATCTTGCCCTTGGTCGGCCCCTCTTCCTTTTGCCTTCCACTTTCCCCAGCATCATTGTCTTCTCTAGGCTTTGCTGTCTCCTCATGATGTGGCCAAAGTACTTCAACTTTGTCTCTAGTCTCCTTCCCCCCAATCCTTCCCTCTAGTATCCTTCCTTCCCTTCCCTTCATACACATGCTTACAGCATTAAATAACATTTTGCAAATCTACTACATAACCCAAAATACAGAAACTGACACATCGTTGGTGGAGTTCAAAATGCTCCTTGATTGTACGTTAACTATAAATCCCAGCAACTACAACTCCCAAATGACAAAATCAATCCACTCCCTCCCAATCCCACCAGTATTCAAATTAGGGCACATTGGGTATTTGAGCCAAATTTGGTCTAGTGAATGAAAATCCATTCTGCATATCAGATATTTACATTATGATTCATAACAGTAGCAAAATTACAATTATGAAGTAGCAACAAAAATAATCTTATGATTGGGGGTCATCACAACTTGAGGAACTAAATTAAGGGGTCGCGGCATTAGCAAGACTGAGAACCACTGGATGGGAACAAAGCAGCAACCCTGAAGCATTAGGACTCTCCAAGAGTGAGAAATCTGTGAAGGGCCAAGTGTTAACTAATTTCTACTCTTTTCCTCCGCAGGGACAATTCATTGTATGGGAAGGGGCCCCTGGAGCACGGATGGCATGGAAGGGCCACAAGCGCCATGTCTTCCTCTTTAAGAATTACCTCCTGGTGTGCAAACCCAAAAGAGACTCCCGGACCGACACTTACAGCTACATCTTCAAGAACATGATGAAGGTCTGCTCCTTATTCTTTCCTTGTTGTTGAGATTGCCTCCTGAGTTTGCTTATGGGTGTGAGGCCAGGGAGGTTCTATGTAGGCTTGATTGGTCATAGGAACTGTAATATATAAAAACAGTTCTTCGTGGTATCTGTGATCCATATATATGGGATTCTCTGTGCTTGTGCAGACTATCTTTGGAAACTTGTAGAATGAGATCTCTTCAACTGAAGCTGGAGGTGATGGTTGGAAAAGATGCATTGGAAACCTTGATTTGGAGATACTGTTTTGCAGTGGCTCCAGTCCTTCCTGGAGGGTTGCTCCCAGAAGGTGTTGTTAGGCGGATCTGGCCAAAGTGGTCCATGCCTTAGTCACCTCTAGACTGGATTACTGCAATGCACTCTACGTGGGGCTGCCCTTGAAAACGGCCCGGAAATTTCAGATGATCCAACGGGCGGCAGCCAGGTTGTTAACTGGGGCTCCTTACAGGGAGCGGTCAACCCTCCTGTTCAAAGAGCTCCACTGGCTGCCATTCATCTACCGGACCCAATTCAAGGTGCAGGTTCTTACCTTCAAAGCCCTGAATGATTTGGGACCCACCTACCTGCGTGACCACATCTCTGTATACGAACCCCACACGATCTCTTTGTTCATCTGGAGAGGCCCTGCTCTCGATCCCACCAGCATCGCAGGCGCGGTTGGTGGGGATGAGAGAGAGGGCCTTTTCGGTGATGGCCCCTTGACTCTGGAACTCACTCCCTAAGGACATCAGGCAAACCCCAACCCTGGCAGTTTTCAGGAGGAGCTTGAAGATGTGGTTGTTCCAGTGTGTCTTCCTGGAATAATTATTCCATAGCACTTTGTCCCTCCAAAGCACTTTACATTTTTAGGTCTGCTCGTATGTCTTTCCACAAACGCCACCATCACCTTTTCGTCCATGCTTCAGCACTATTTCCAATTTTAATTTTACATTTGGCCTTCTCACAGTTTTAATTGTATGTTGTCTTATTGATAATGTTATATGTTTATTGTCTATGTTCTTATTTTAATTGCTTGTATTGTTGTGATTATTGTTTGTATTGTTGTGTTTGGGCTTGGCCTCATGTAAGCCGCACCGAGTCCCTTGGGGAGATGGTAGCGGGGTACAAATAAAGTGTTATTATTATTGTTGTTGTTGTTAGGGGACACCTGCTCGGCCCCACGACCATTGTACTGTGGAGTACTACAGGGTTCAGTATTATCCCCTATGTTGTTTAACATGAAGCCGTTGGGGGAGATTCGGAGTTTTGGGGTGCGGTGTCATCTGTCCAACTCCGTCCCTCCTTCCTACCTGCTACTAAGTAGTGTGTTCTGGTTCTGAACCGGTGCTTGGCAGCTGTAATGAACTGGACGAGAGCGGACAAATTGAAACTAAATCCAGACAAGACAGAGGTCCTTCTAGTCAGTTGCAAGGCTGAACAGGGCATAGGGTTACAGCCTGTGCTTGATGGGGTTACACTCCCCTTGAATGTGCAGGTTCACAGCTTGGGAGTGATCCTGGACTCATTGCTGAGCCTGGAACCTCGGATCTCGGCAGTGGCCAGGGGAGCTTTTGCACAGTTAAAGCTTGTGCGCCAGCTGCACCCATAACTTGGGAAGTCTGACTTGGCCACGGTGGTCCATGCTCTGATTACATCCCGAATAGGCTACTGCAACACACTCTACGTGGGGTTGACTCTGAAGACTGCCCAGAAGCTCCAACTAGTCCAACGCTTGGCAGCCAGGCTGCTCATGGGAGCAGGGTAAAGGGAGTGCACAACTCCCCTGTTACACCAGCTCCACTGGCTGCCAATTAGCTTCCGAGCACAATTCAAAGTGCTGGTTTTAACCTATAAAACCCTATATGGTTCTGGCCCAGTTTACCTTTCTGAATGTATCTCCCCCTAAGATCTTCTGGAGAGGCCCTGCTCTCGGTCCCACCACCTTCGCAGTCGCGCTTGGTGAGGATGAGAGACAGGGACTTCTCAGTGGTGGCCCCCCGGCTATGGAACTCTCTCCCCAATGAGGTTAGATCTGCCCCCCTCCCTCCTGACCTTCAGGAAGCAGCTGAAATCCTGGCTTTGGAATCAGGCATTCGCAGATTGATGGATTGAATCGGTAAAGACTAAGAGTTATTGGACCACAATGTTTGGATTGAGTTGGATGTTGTTTTAGCTCGGCAAACTGTCTTCTATATATGCATTTATAAATTTATTTATTATGTATGTTGTTTTTAAAATGTTATTTATTGTGTAGCACTGAATTTTTTACTGTTGTTAGTCGTTCTGAGTCCCTCCACAGAGGTAGAGAAGAATGGGACATAAAAGTTCTAAATAGATAAATAAATAAAATAAATTGTTGTTATGCAAGGAAAATAAGGGAATATAAAATTACTAATCATAGCATCTTAGACTGGAAGAGACCAACCATCCAGGCCAACCCCCCTTCTGCCATGCAGGAAAAGCACAATCAAAGCACCCCCAACAGATGGCCACTTAGCCTCTGTTGAAAAGCCTCCAAGGAAGGAGAATCTACCACAAAAAGCAAATGTTTGTTCTGATTTTGGATTTGGCCATTTTTGGAGAAGAGGAAGCTTTCAATATTAGTTGATACTATATATTTTTTACATTCTCTGATGATATCTTACTTGACTTTTAACATTGTCCTTTGATCAGCTAACAAATATAGATGTGAATGATTTGGTGGAAGGGGATGACCGGGCGTTCGAGATCTGGCATGAGCGGGAAGATGCTGTCCGCAAGTATCTCTTCCAAGCCAGAACGGTCATCATCAAGAACTCTTGGGTGAAGGAAATCTGTGGGATCCAGCAGCGCATCAGCCTCCCTGTTTGGGGTAAGTATAGGTCAGGAGGAGGGAGGACTAAGCATAATGCTGTTGTACACTTTCTTGAAAATCCCGTTCTTCATCTTTTCCTTAGACAGCTTTTCAGTGGAAGGTATTGATTTCAGTCTGCTTGTTTTCAGATCCACCAGACTTTGAGGAGGAACTGGCCGACTGTACAGCTGAGGTTGGAGAAACGGTCAAGTTGGCCTGCCGGGTAACAGGAACACCCAAGCCAACAGTTACATGGTATAAAGGTATGGCTATTGGATATCTTAGTTAAATATTCATCAAATGGATTTAATGATTTATTTATTTGTCGTGTCAGGACAACCAGTCAATTGTATTACATTTCTAACAGAACAAAACAAACAAACAGACAAAATACAAAATTGGAGTTTGGTAGTTGATTAAATGTCCTTTGACCAGTATCTGGCCACTTGGAGTGCTTCTGGTGTTGCTGCAAGAAGGTCCTCCATTGTGCATGTGGCAGGGCTCAGGTTGCATTGCAGCAGGTGGTCAGTGGTTTGCTCTTCTCCACACTCGCATGTCGTGGATTCCACTTTGTGGCCCCATTTCTTAAGGTTGGCTCTGCATCTCGTGGTGCCAGAGCGCAGTCTGTTCAATGCCTTCCAAGTCGCCCAATCTTCTGTGTGCCCAAGGGGGAGTCTCATTTGGTATCAGCCATTGGTTGAGGTTCTGGGTTTGAGCCTGCCACTTTTGGACTCTTGCTTGCTGAGGTGTTCCAGCGAGTGTCTCTGTAGATCTTAGAAAACTATTTATAGATTTAAGTCGTTGACGTGCTGGCTGATACCCAAACAGGGGATGAGCTGGAGATGTCTCTGCCTTGGTCCTTTCACTATTGGCTGCTACTTCCCAGAGGATGTCAGGTGGTGCAATACCGGCTAAACAGTGTAATTTCTCCAGTGGTGTAGGGTGCAGACACCCCGTGATAATGCAGCATGTCTCATTAAGAGCCACATCCACTGTTTTAGTGTGGTGAGATGTGTTCCACACTGGGCATGCATACTCGGCAGCAGAGTAGCATAGCGCAAGGGCAGATGTCTTCACTGTGTCTGGTTGTGATCCCCAGGTTGTGCCAGTCAGCTTTCGTATGATATTGTTTCTAGCACCCACTTTTTGCTTGAAGTTCAGGCAGTGCTTCTTGTAGGTAAGAGCACGGTCCAGAGTGACTCCCAGGTATTTGGGTGCGCTGCAATGCTCCAGTGGGATTCCTTCCCAGGTAATCCTCAGAGCTCGGGATGCTTGTCTGTTCTTGAGATGAAAATGATGTCCCAGTGCAGATGGAGCTGTTGTTATTGTTGTTATGCATATACTCAAATCTAAAGATCACCTTTTTTGACTAAATTTCCTTCCCAAAATTAGAGTACACATTAGATTTGTGTCGTATGGTCATCTTAGTGTTGAGCCAAAGCAAAAAGTGCATCAAGAGCACCTACAGCTCCTATTTGAGGGACGTCATCTCTAATTTAAATGCCATGGCTCAATGATATGCATTGCTGGTATTTATTTATTTATATTTTATTTAAAACATTTAAATTCTGTCCTTCTCACCCCGAAGGGGACTCAGGGCGGAGCACAGCATATACACGGCAAGCATTCAATGATGGGACACAGATTCACATACAATACATAAACATTAAAAAACATTGATCAAAATATTAAAATACACCATTTAAAACTGTCCTAGTCATCAGCGTCAAATCTAATTGGCCTGGTCATCTTTCCTATTACCGCTTTATTGCCCTATCTCGAAAGCTTGGTCCCACAGCCAAGTTTTTACCATCCTTCTAAAGGACAGGAGGGAGGGGGGCGACCTGATCTCACCAGAGTTCCATAGCCGGGGAGCAATCACCGAGAAGGCCCTGTCTCTCATTCCCACCAATCGTGCCTGTGACAATGGCAGGATGGAAAGCAGGGCCTCCCCGGAGGATCTTAATCTCTGTGATGGTTCATAGGGGAGATGCGTTCGGACAGGTAATTTGGGCCGGGGCCGTTTAGGCCTGACAGAAACATTCTCATGAGAATCTGCCCTTTGCACTGAAGCCTCTCTGTCAGTGTCTGCATGAAACTCATTGACCAAAGTGTCTCCATCTTGCACCTCAGAGTCAGTCCCAGCATCCCCCACATCAGAAGCAACAGGGGACTGATTTCCCTCCTCATTACCCACATCAGACACAGAAACATCAGGAGACTGAAACACATTCACAGGTTCAAGCACAGGCTCAGGTTCAATCACAGGCTGAGTCCCAACAAAGCAGTAAGAACATATTTGGTGAATTCACCTGTAGCCCTAAACTCAGCATTGTGGTTACAGAAGTGTTTTTTCTCTTTCCTTTGAAGATGGTAAGCCTGTGGAGGTGGATCCCCATCACATCATCATTGAAGATCTCGATGGCTCCTGCACCTTGATCCTTGACAACCTCACGGGCGTTGATTCGGGGCAATACATGTGCTACGCTACTAGTCCAGCCGGTAGTGCCAGCACTTTAGGGAAGATCCTTGTTCAAGGTAAGAGTCCCGTGGAAGAAATACACTGGGGCATCCTTCTAGTGAGTCCTTTTATTCCTCCACAGAGTGAAAATTGCCAGAATTGTATGTCAGACATGTTAATAATACATCATGGCTTGATTCTCACAACTGCCACATTGATATCAATCATTTAATACTATAATTGGGGTATCTCTGCTATGCCATAACACACAAAGGGACATATTTCTTCATACAATGCTCAAATCACATAAGGAATCCATACTTAAAATTAACATCACTCTAAATGCCAAGCAACGATGATAAAACTAAGAAGGACTATTGCAATTTTCTCCTACCTAGAGTCCTCCAAATATACTTATTACATGTTTGCTGTGGGTTGTATGGCCATGTTCCAGAAGCATTCTCTCCTGACGTTTCGCCCACATCTATGGCAAGCATTCTCAGAGGTTGTGAGGTCTGTTGGAAACTAGGCAAGTGGGGTTTATATATTTGTGGAATAATGTCCAGGGTGGGGGACAAAATTCTTGTCTGGCTGAGGCAATGTTGAATGTTGTAATTAGCCAGCTTGATTAGCATTAAATGGCCTTGCAGCTTCAAAGCTTGGCTGCTTCCTGCCTAGGGAATCCTTTGTTGGGAGGTATTAATTGGCCCTGATTGTTTCTTGTTTGGAATTCTTGTCTGGAATTCTTTAATTCAGTGCTAATTAAGTTGGCATTTGCCTCAAACAAAGAGTTCTTTCTCCCACCCTGGACATTCCAGATATATAAACCCCACTTGCCTACTTTCCAACAGACCTCACAACCTCTGAGGATGCCTGCCATAGATGTGGGTGAAACGTCAGGAGAGAATGCTTCTGGAACGTTGCCATACAGCCCAGAACTCACAGCAAACTCAGTGATTCTGGCCACGAAAGCCTTCAACAACACATACTTATTACATTTTATGTCTTAATGATGGCAACATAGTTCAATACATATGAAGAGCACCAAGCTGAGAAAAAGTGTTATTGGTTTCCCAGAGGTTCCACCACTTGCAAGAACCAGCCTTGGACTGACCAGTCTGTAGTCATTCTTAACTTTCCCCATCATCTTTGTTTTCCTTGATGTGGTTTCAAATTAAGCTATTTTACTGCTTATTGTTTCTTTCCAGTGCCTCCCCGGTTTGTGAACAAGGTCAAACATGCCTACTATGCTGATGGTGAAGATGCACAGTTTACTTGCACTATTGAAGGTGCACCGTATCCACAGATCAGGTAAAATTCTATTTATTTATTTATTATTTAGGGCATTTATATCCCGTCCTATCTCACCTCCACAGAGGGACTCAGGGCAGCTAACAACCGGCACAGCATATTCTTTTTTTTTTTATAATAGTTTTTATTAAGGTTTTAAGAATAACATCGAAAGAGGGAGAATATTAAAAAAGATGATAGGAAAGTAGGAAAAAAGTAAGAAATACATCCCCCTACCCCCAAGTCCACCAAAAAATACAAAAATATAAAAGCCACACAAAATAAAGAAAAAAAAAGAAAAAAAGAAAAAATATATAAAATAAAAATTGACTTCCATCTCTCCATCAGGTGTTGTGTCCTCAATGATATTTCCATTATATCCACTTCATAGTATTCCTCTTATTTATTTATTTCCTTTTCATAATTTTCATATAGAGTCCAATCTGTCCTCTTTATCGGGTTCCCGGTATTCTTTTTCAAGAAAAAAGTTAATTCGTCCATTTCTCTTATTTCTCTTAATTTCCCTAACCACTCTTCAGTGGTAGGGATATCTTCCTGTTTCCAAAACTTCGCCAATAATATTCTCGCCGCTGTTGTAGCATAGGTAAATAGTCTATCTTCGTTCTCATCTAATTGTAATTCCAAATCTGTAAATCCCAATAGATAATATTCTGGTTTCTTCTTAAAAACTCTCTTCAAAATTTTTTGTAGCTCTTCATGTACTTTCGTCCAATACTTCTCTATTTCTTTACACGTCCACCACATATGATAAAAAGTACCTGTTTGATGGCAACCCTTCCAACATTTATCAGAAGTATTCTTGTTCATTAAAGATAATTTCTTAGGAGTGGTATACCATCTGTGGAACATTTTTATCCAGTTTTCTTTTAAATCTGTTGCATATACATATTTCAATTTTTTGTTCCACATCTGCTCCCACTCCCTAAATTGAATAGGTCTTCTTATGTTTTGGCCCATTTTATCATACATGTTTTCACTTGCTCGCACTCCGTTAGCCAGGTTAATAGTGTATTATAAATAACTGAAATTACTTTCTTATTCGTCTTTAATATTTTGTCCCAAATTGACTCTTCCCAGGCGAAGCCTATCTTATTATCTTGCTTGATATATTCTTTCATTTGCAAGTAGTGTAACCACGTCAAATTACCATTTATTTCTTTCATTTGCTGGAAGGATTTAATTTCCATAGTATTCCTCACTAGTATATCTCTATATGTTGGCCACGCTCTCCAACCCAGTAATCTTCTTTGATACGCCTCCATCGGTGAAACCCATAGAGGCGTTTTAGTATAAAAATGATTCTTGTATTTCATCCATACTCTTAATAATGATGCTCTTACAAAATGGTTTCCAATTTTTTTCCTTTTTTTCTCGATCGTACCACGTGTAGGCATGCCAGCCTACACGTAGATCATGTCCTTCTAAGTTCAAGCCTTTTCCATTTTCTAATGTCATCCAATCTCTTATCCACAAAAGGGCACTAGCCTCATGGTATGTTTTCAGATCTGGGAATCCCAGTCCCCCTCGTGTTTTTTTATCAATTAAGTTCAAATATTTAATTCTCGGTCTTTTCCCATTCCACACAAATTTCAATAATTCTTTCTTCCATTTTATAAATTCTGTTTGATTTTTGATTATGGGTATATTTTGAAATAAAAACAATAGTTTAGGTAAAACATTCATTTTTATAAGCGCAATTCTTCCTAGTAGAGATAGTTTCAATAAGCTCCATTTCTTTAAATCCTTCTGTATCTTGCTCCAAGTCAAGTCATAATTATTCTTCAATAGTTGGCCATTCTTTGCTGTCAACCAAATCCCCAGGTACCTTAATTTTTTCACTATTTCCATTCCTGTAATCCTTGTAATTTCTTCTTGGTCTTCTTTCCCTATATTTTTAGTTAGTATTTTAGTTTTCCCTTTATTTATTTTGAGGCCTGCCACTTTCCCAAATTCTTGTATTTTTTCAATCCAGTTTTGTAAATTATTAATTGGGTCTTCCACTATTCCCAGTAAATCGTCCGCAAAAGCTCTTATTTTGTATTCATATTTCCCGATTTTTACTCCTTTAACATTTGTATCTTCTCTTATTTTCATCATTAATGGTTCCAACGCCATTATAAAAATTAATGGGGATAACGGACATCCTTGTCTCGTTCCTTTTGTAATCTCAAATTCCTCTGATAATTGGCCGTTTATCCGAATTTTTGCCTTTTGTAGATCATAAATCGCATCAATTGCATTTATAAATTTAGCTCCCATATCCAATTCTTGAATCAATATCTTAAAGAAGTCCCAATTCAAATTATCAAACGCCTTCTCGGCATCAATTGATAAAATAGCCATTTCTTTCTGGTGGTTCGCCTCAAAATATTCAATCAAATCCAATACTGTGCGGATATTGTCTTTCATATATCTTCCGGGAAGGAACCCTGTTTGGTCCTCCCCTATCCAATCTTTCAAAAATTCCTTTAGTCTCGCCGCCAGTATATTCGTAAATATTTTATAGTCCACATTTAATAGGGAAATCGGTCTATAATTCTTGATATCTTCCGGGGCTGAACCTTCTTTGTGTATCATTACTATCTCAGCTTGATTCCAGGTTTCTGGGATTCTTTGGTGATTTAATGCTTCGTTTAAGACTTTCTTTAACATTGGTACCACAGTTTTTTTCATTGACTTGTAAAATCCTGCTGTAAATCCATCTGGTCCCGGAGCTTTATCTGCATCCATTTTATTAATTGCTCTTTCAATCTCTTCTTCCATAATTTCTTTATTCAATTTTTCTCTTATTTCCTCTGTAATTTTCTGCAATTTCAATTGGCCTATATATGCTGTAATATCATCCTTCTTTATTCCATCTTTCGTATATAATTTACTGTAGAATTTCATGAATTCTCCCATAATCTCCTTATCAGTTGTAACAGTTTTATCTCCCGATATTATTTTTGTAATTTGTGTAGTTTGTTTCTTCTTTCTTACTTGTCTTGCTAACCATTTCCCTGATCTATTCGCATTTTCAAAAGATTGTTGTTTTAAAAACTTCAGCTCTCTTGCTTGTCTTTCCGTTTCCAAGCGAGACTTCTCTTGATTAAGTCTCGCTAATTCTTTATTCAATTTTTTACACTGTGGTTTCTTTTTTAACTCTGTTTCTTTATTAGCAATCTTATTCATCAATTCTTTCATTTTTTTATTTCTGTCTTTATTCTTCCTGGACCCATGTTGAATAAAGCATCCTCTCAAAACCGCTTTGAGGGCGTCCCAAGTCACTTGTATTTTTGTCTCCTCAATGTCATTAATTTCTAGATACTCTTGAACGATTTTATTATAATGTAATTTGTCTTCTTCCGTTTTAATCAAATTTTCATTTAATCTCCATTTCCTTTGAAAACCTTTATGATTAATTAGTATTTCTAATGGACAGTGATCCGAAACGTCTCTAGGCAATATTTCCATCTCCACAATTTTAGTAGCTAATTTTTTTGTTATCCATGCCATATCAATCCTTGACCATGTTTGATGTCTATGTGAATAAAAAGTATAATCCTTTTTTTCTCATTCTTTCTTCTCCACGTATCCTCCAGCTCAAATTCTTTTTGTAAATCAAAAAACTTTTGGGGTAAAACACTGTTTCCTCCCCTTTTTTGCAGTTTATTCTTGTCTTTTTGTTTGTCCATCACACCATTGAAGTCTCCTATCAGTAAGAGTTCATCGAATTCCGTTTCTCTCAATTTTGATTGTAAAAATTGAATAAATTTAGTCTTTGGGCCATTTGGCGCATATATATTACATACTAGTATTTTTAAATTTCCCAGTTGAATTTTTACCGCCACACATCTTCCTTCCAAATCCTTGAATGCCAATTCTGGTGTTAAATTTTCCTTTAT